TRSWMAAGGCAGAGATCTCATCGATAATATTTGCTAAGAGCRATGATGGTGATGATTATATATYAGTAAATGATAGTGATGATATTGTACAAAATGGCGTCGCTTATTGATGTTGTTCTTGTKTATTCAGAGGGTCCAAAGCTAAAGCGAAAGCTACAGTTTGASAATRACGATACTAATGAAGACGTTGAACAGCARATGGTCACAGTAACTAAAGTCGTAGAAGAGGTAGACTGGCACTAGGGGACTGGGGWCGGGTAGACATGGGCGATTTTCATTGGACTTTGAAACAGTCCTTYGAAAACCAGGATAATCTCTTTTAATAGAATCTTACTACTGCACATTAACAAGAAGTTTTTATTCCACCGTCACACTTTTAGATTTAAAAACGAATTCCTCCGTATTTGCTTCGACGAAAAATGACATTTGATTGCATTGTGTCCAACAGATTGAGTACACATTACACAGGGATACCAAAGGCCTTGGTATTAATATCGCAGGAGGAAAGGGATCGACTCCTTATAAGGAGAACGATGAGGTAAACCACTCATCCATGTGGGATAATGATCGAATCTAATTCTTGTGAGCATGCGTAGATTGATAAGTGTTTCTGTATATAGGCTATATTCATTTCAAAAATCTCTGAAAATGGGCCAGCGGGCAAGGACAACATTTTACGGGTCGGAGATAAAATATTAAAGGTGAGAAACACTCAGTCCGATAGAGAGAACGACTGTTTTAACCGCAGGGCATTATATTGACTAACCCTACCCGTTGTTYGTAGGTGAATGGCACAGACATAAGTAGCGCAACACACCACGAGGCGGTTAATGTACTCAAGTCAACTGGCAAAGATATAACGCTGTTTGTTGTTCGTGAACGAGAAGAAATTGTCAAGAAACCCGTCCCAAAGAAGACTCCAGAGAAAGTACAAGAAACTATCGAAGCACCGGTACACGAGAATGGACTTCATGAAGCATCCGAGCTGGAATCCATGCCAAATGAGGTAATTAATGCTTTGAATTTTTGAAGGTTATAAACTGCAGTTGTCATGTAATCAGTTCCACAAAACTTCCCCAAATAATTTTTTGTTTTGCAAACCAAAGGTTGACGAGACTCCAAAAGAGGACARCAAGAGAGTTGGTGTACGATTCGCGCCAGAACCAGAAATGGAAGAGATCGAAACAAAACCTGAGGTAAAAAAACACCATCCTATTTGCCATATGGACAAAGTTGACAAGATCGCATCCAGGAGAAGGGTGCAACGCCGCACCCCACCCTGGAGAGGAACCTTTTTCCTCTATTTTTTTTTTTCTCCGTTCTTCTTTTTCAAAGTGTTGAGCACATAAAAAGCAAATTAATTATCTGTTGTGTTACAGCGCGTGACTGTCACGCTAAGGCGAGGAGGAGATAAAGGACTGGGTTTTAGTATTGCTGGTGGGCGTGGATCGACGCCGTACAAAGATGGCGACCCGGTAAGTAATGATAACATTGATAATGGAAAAGACACTAGTGATTTTRATRAAGGTATTAACGKTATGTTGGYGTTTTTCAGGGTATTTTTATATCGAAGCTCGCTGAAGAAGGTATCGCAGAAAGGGATGGTCGGCTTAAAGTCGGGGATAAAATATTATCGGTAAGCTATCGGCCCAAAATCGGAGATAAAGTGTCTTCGAGTTATCTACGGTCCCTCTGCCTCCTCGCGGGGCCGTCGTTTTGACATAGCACAGGAAGCCCATCACAATTATCGTTTCCTTCCAGATAAACAGCAAGGATATGAGGAGCTGTCGTCACGAGGACGCCGTTGCCATGTTAACGGGAGGTCTATCCTACGTCACGCTAATCGTTTATCGAGAGAAGGTCGTTAATAAGAGGATGACTCCAGTATCCAAACTACAAGACCAGTCGACTGTTAATAAGAAACTATTAATCAAGAATGAAGGCGTTGAAAATCATCTAGAGAATGGACAAGACTTGGATCTCGAGGACGGCAAACCTGTATTGGATATAGTCGTGAGTATCGTCCTTGTGACGTCATGCTTGTTATCTCGAAGTGCATCATGGTATTGATAAATGTWTCAAGATGGCGGATGTTTTRTAATAACAACGGAGGTCGAAATTTCAAGGCGAAATTAACCGGTTACCGGTCGTAACGAATAACTTAGAAGATTATTTTATATAAGGAAATAGCTTCATATAYTCGCAGAACAGTCACAGCTTCTTGTTCGCAAACAGCTCGATACAGAACAACAAGGCTTCAGTTTGTACTTGAATCAATCCCATAGTGCACCTCGCCGAACATYGTATGACGTCATAAGGCAACAGCCGACGTTTTTCAGCAAGATTTGATAAAGCATCATCATTATTATTAATTATCACTCATTTTATCCCTACAGGAAGTGATATTAAAGAAAGGTAACAATCCATTAGGGTTTAGTATTGTTGGAGGATGTGATCATGCCAGTCATCCCTTCGGAATGGAAGAACCTGGAATATTTATATCAAAAGTAAGTAYA